CATGGAAACAACAACTGTCGCAAAATCAAATGAAAAGAACAAACCGCTCTTGCGTAGCAACATCGAAGTGTCAAACACATCTCAAAATAACAGTCTGTCTTCACACGACATGCGACTCTTGTTTTCCTGCTGCATTGCGGCGTCATAGAGTGAGTACAGAGCGCATCACTGCAGCTTTGCGAGCACCCTTGTGCCCTGCAAGGTGCGTGATGTCTCTTTCACTATGGCAGTGTGCATGAGCTGGCCATTCAGCTCATACTCTGAGCTTTGTACTTCCTGATCCGCTCACGACACTCGGCACAACCATTCGTTGCGCCGGAGCATTTTGAGCAGCCAGGAATCCCTGCACACAGCCGGTCTGTGATGGTCTCAAAGTCCCCCAGCCAAGCATGTTTCTTGCCAGAAGCCTTAGCCTTGGCCTTTTTAGCGGCTTTGGGCTTTGGTGTCGATGCTGGACTCTTAGAAGGGCGCTTCATCATCTTCACTGATTCCCTTGCGTCAAATGCTTCCTGCACCCGTTTGGCTTGCTCTTCTGGAGTGAAAAGGCTTAGTTGCCCTCGTCTGCAAGGTGGTGTCACCTCTGCCTGCGGTGATGCAGTCTCCACTCTTGCACCTTGTGCTGGTGGCGTCGGTGTATCCTTCACCTGATGTGTCTCTTCAGGTGATGGAGCTGGCAATGCAGGCAATCCAGGCACTGCGGGCAATGCATGCTGTGGTGTCTGCTGGCGCCCGCACATTTGGAAATTGGTCAAATTGCCAACAGCTGACGAGCTTGAAGAAGCCGCCCCCCACTCATGAAAGCAGCGAAATTCTGCATGAGGTGCATGAAGGCCATTTGCTGCTGGTTCACGTGCTGTGGAGCTGGTGCTGCTATGGGCACGATCTGCTGCTGCTTCGAGGCATCATCCCTCAGCGACTTGTTCGTGCTTCGATAAACCACCGCATTCTTCATTGCGATGCATTCTGACTCGTCTAACTGTAGTGGCGGGTCATCGTCTGTATAGGCATCCCGGTAGATCGACAACTCTCTAGGGTTGGGCGGAAAGGTTGCGATGAAGTCAGGAGTTGCTACCCGACCAGCCTTCCGCTTGATCATCTTCTTCAACTCGCTAAAAAGGCTATAGTCATTCTTGGCAGAATCAGTGGTTGTGAACCCGGCAACTCGTCCAGCTGCAAAGACAGAAGCAGCTGCATTTTCCTCACATTACTGCACTGCAAAAACACGTGGGCAACTCCGCAACACGTCAGACCCTCCCAAACAAATCAGACCCCCAAAACATCTAACAAACCTGAATATAAGCCAAAGGCGCGCTTGGCAAAATCAATCCCACTTTCACGCATCTAGAGGCTAGGGTGTCAAGCTTGACTGCGTGCGTGATGTCCTGCTGCGACAGCACTTGACAATCTTGCTTCGACAGGTAGCCTGCAAAGGACGCACATGTTTGGTTCTGTCTTCTGACAGGCTTCTCACCAATGGACTTCATCATCTTTCCATTGATCACCTGAGAGAGCTATTTCACATCGTCGGCTAACCAAGGGCCCTGAGCAATGAGTTGGACAAGTTCCGTTGCTTCTGTAGCAGGAAGCTCTGGAAGTGATTGGATCCTGCTCGTCAATGCCATCTTGTGCGACTTGCGCACTTCTGCCAGAGCATCGGCTGCCAAGATCGTTTCTTGGGTCTTCAAGAACGCATGAAGGGATGAAACAACCTCCACAAGTTTATCTGCCATTGAGCGAGCAAAGGTGCCCTGCTCTCTCTCGCGGGCTTTTGCCCTGCGTGTGGCAGAGGTGTGCTCAAAGCCAAAGCGTCTAAGTGGCTGCGCAAGAGAATGCTTGCACATGGGAACATGGTCAAGTGACTGTTGACATTCAGCGGATATTGATTGCACTTTGCACACATTGGATGACAAGGTTTGAAATGGTTGGAAAAGCCACTGACACTGATATGTTACATATACATGCTCACATCACCTGCTGGGCATTCAGCGGCCACATTGTATGACAAGGTTTGAACAGTCAATGACACTGATATGTTACACGTACATGTATATGCGCATCTGCACGAGCAAAACTAAGCAAACATAAAGAGTTGAGCTCTTTGTTTCACAGCTGCCAGTGAACGCAGTGTAAGTTCATGCACAGATGATGCACTTAGCTGTCCAGTGAACCAGTGAAACAAAACAGTGAAACACCTACATCTCATCGCCTGGAGTGGGCGCGGAACTCTTGCACACGCTGAGATGGACCTCATGGAGCGGCAGCTTGCCTTCCTGCAAAAAGATTGCCGTCTCAACCTCTCTAGCTAGCAGGCGCGCTGATGACCATTTAGAAGCCTCCAGCTCACGCAGGTACGCTTTGAGCTTTGAAAGGGGCATGTTCATCGCCAGGATGTCAACCGTCTCCATCTTTTTTTTGCCGTTCCACTTCTTGACTCCACAGCTGGCCATGACGAGTGTGATGGGCCGATGCGTTTGATGGCCCTATGAAATCTGTTTGAGAAGGCTTCAAGCGAGCAACTCCACAAATGAGAAAGCATTAGACCAGCGCCGCCGGCGCAAGGCTACAACAAAGGACCTTGCTCCCACACACACACACACATACGCACACACGTCCCTGCTGAGTGGCGAGCACTGCCCTGCCAGCGCGGGACTGACGCCATATTGCCTGCAGCGATGCTTGCAGGGCCCAGTGGGGGGTATATACTATAGTGATGGGAATTGCCAAGAAACAAGCGGGTGATTGCCAGCAGGGATGGGAATCGATAGGGTGTGGCAAGAATATGAACTTCTTCAACTCTGTTTTGGTTCTCATTGCCAGCAGATCTGTGCACACACAGGGGTGACTGCGTCTAAAAGCACAAATTAGACTGAAATACAAGACATTCATCAAAAGAAACGCGCGCTCATCCTACGTAGCCCAGGTGTCTCAGCCCGTGTGACTCTTTGCTCTTGGCGTCCATCAGTGTCAATCCCCATCTCCACCAGGACAACCTCCACCTCCCTAGCTAAGCGGTTGGCAGATGGCCAGACCTTGCATGTGGAAGACTGCTTGTACTTCAAAAGTTTATGTCTAGATTGAACTAAAAAGGAAACACATAAAAGTAGATCTGCATGGATAACAAGGCTCTGATGCGTCCAGTTCCCGGTAGTAACGAAGTAGCTTTTCAACAGGGAACCGCATGGCGCGTACATGGTTGGCTTCGAAATGGCGCTTGCCTGGGAAGTCCTTCTCTACCACGTCCCTCCGCTTCATGGAGGACGATGCAAAGCAGGTGCGCTATGTGTGGGCCAACAGCTACATCACTCTCCAGCTGCCACAACAAACAACCAACGACTGCAAGTACCACATGACATCCAACTCCTATAGCCACTGGAAAAGCAATAAATGTGCAAGTCTGTGTTCAGTTTGATTGCAACAATGTCATTATGATGTCATTCTGTGGCTGGTAGCAAAGGAGACTTACGAAAAAGATTGATGCGAGCTAGCAAAAGCCCTGCGTGAATGGCGAGCAGGTCTGACACCCACCCTGCCGAGCCTTCAAGCATTAAAAAGCCTCAGCATACAGACTCGGTCCTGACGGTGTTCTGCTCCCATGTTACCAAATGCACATGTAAGGAACTCGTGTGTGTCAGTGACACAAGCCGGCTCTGTCTCAAGCACGCTCATGTGAAGCGTCACGCGCAGCCATGAAAACAACTCTCTCCATGGGCTGACACTCTGAAGGCCACCCTGCACGACGTCAGTCGACTGGCAACCTGCCCGAGGTCACAATCAACTCTTGACCACCTTCAACATACATATGTGCAAAATGCTTCATCAGCCAACTGCCAAAACATTCAACTGATTGCCAAACCAGGGCAACTTAACCTCGAATCACATGGAAGTGTTTCATCAGTGTTTCATCTTTGGCTACTTTTGCAAAAATATGTGGAACAAACAACGTTGGCCTTTGGCGCGTGCATACATGCACTGCGCAATGGCGAGCAAGGGCCCTGCCGAACCTCCATCCAATGCATCTCCGCCTGGCTGCGACAGAAGGCAAATCAGTCCACATGCAGGGATGTATAACTGTTGTGGATAAAATTCTATATAATCCCAGGTCAATTGGAGGACCACCGGGGCATCAACTGCAGGATCAATCTATGTGTTTCGCAGCCTCAAGAAGCAGCTAAAGGAAGACAACTATGAAATCCCAAACTCTCACCAATCTCAATGGAAAAAACAAAAAACATCCAAATCTACCCCCAGTGTCGATCGACAATAAAAAATGGATTCCTATTGTCGATCGACAATCGGACAGCCAAAACATTTGTTGATTGACATGGATTTGCCAATTTGAGCCACCAACATAGTGTCAACTAACAATAAAACATTAAAAAATAGTGTCGATCGACATAAGGGCTATGATTGCAGGTTTTTTGTATTCTTATGGGGAAGCCCCCTAGGGGTAACTCTCGCCATTTTTTTCCGGTGACCTTTTTGTCACAAACGTTCTTTTTGTGGGATTTATGAAGAATTTCAATTCTGTAAACAATCCAAATATGCTCCAAAACCCGCCCAAATTGAACAAGGTTACACAAATTCGAAGACCTCAAAAAGATATGAACTGCCCTAAAACCAACCCTATCGCCATTCAACACTCCTTTCATTGCGCGCAAAAACCATGTTGCCAGCATCATGCCAGTCAAGCCAAACAAAACTACTGATCAGAAAGAAACACTAACATTACTACACAACAGTTGTCAACCTGCTACACCAACCCCACTTCCCCAGTCCCAAGCGCGACTGAATGCATTTGTCCCATCACAGCGTTGGATCAAGCGAGATCTCTCCGATTTGAGAGGGTGTCAATGCACGTGGCATATGACAATTAATTGTCAATGAGCTGTACGTCACCTGCGCACAAAAGAACATGTGCAGTCACAACTTCACCTGCTGCTCAAGCGGCGACAGGAACTGGGAGTTTCTGGTTTCTGGATTTGGGTCCTACCACACAAGTTGCACTGCGCACATCCCTCGCAAGACCGTCATCATAACTGTTCAGTAAACACCATGCAACACTATGAGCACCACCAGGCATGTTGGGCCTTGTGAGCTCCACGAACACAAACCTTGCAGTGAAACGCAGTTCAAAAGTTCCAAAGCTCCAATGGCGTGTCACGACAGCGTCCAATGCCGCGCGCAGAGATCAGCTGGCATTGTATCCCTGGCTCTTGCCCTTGGCCTTCGACTTCCCTTTGGCATCCTTGCCCTTTCCCTTGCCCTTGTCATCAGGAGGAGCTTTCCCCTTGCCGGCAGCACCTTTGCCTTTGCTACCAAGCACCAAATGGCCTGACAACTCCACAGCAGTGCGAAGAGCCGAATGGTCGGCGTCCCTTTCCTCCTGTAGCCGACGGAGGTCCTGCTTCATTCGCTCGGCCACTCCTCCACGGTTGCGGGTCCTTTTGCGTCCTTGACCGGGCCTTAGATGGAATGCACTTTCAATCATGCATGGCATCAATATTAGCCCAAAGCAAATGTTTCTATCACACCGAAAGAACAAATGTCATGTCTCCCAAACCCCTTGGATACTTGAATATATCTCGCCAGATAAAATAGAGCTAACAAAAATGTACAATCTAAACTGGTATAGGCACGCTGAATACTCGCCGCTGGCCAACCGAAAGCCATGTCCACCCGGCACATATTCGCCGCCCTTGCCATGACCCTTGCGCCTGCTGCTGCGGTCAGTGGAGCTCCCCGACCTTTCTGACGACGATGCTCGAGATTCCACTCCAGACATCTCCCTCCTCCATGGAGCATCTCTCAATGAAGCATCTGGCCTTGCAGCAGCAAAGGGAGGTGGAGGCGGCGGTGGCACTGGCACATCACGTCTTGTACTGGCGGCCATTGATGTAGGCGGTGGCGGAGGCGGCAAGGATGAAAGTGTCCTGGCGCTCTTCCTTGGTACTGGAGGTGGTGGAGGGACATCGCGACGTGGACGTTCAACCGGCATTGCCTTGTGCAACACTGTCGTTTGAACCCTCCGCTGATGCCCTGGCGAAGAGGAGTCCGAGTCGTCAATCAAAAGCTCTTCAATTTCATCTTCACCTTCGTTCTCCTCGGCAGGCTCCGCAGCCTCTGCAGCCTCCGTAGGCTCCGCAGGCTCCTGCTCCTGCTCGCCCTCCTTTTCTTCCTCCTCTGGCTCCGGTTCGTCCTTGACCGGCTCATAGGACTCATAGGTGTACCATTCTCCCCAGCCTTCCGATTCGTCGCCCCATCCCTCTGACGCGCACCACTCTAACCACTGTTCATGTGTGTAGACCTCGTCTTGGGGTTCTTCCTTCACGGGCAAACGCTTTGCAGCCTGTACATCAGTGCCAGAGTGCTCCAACCCAATTCCTTCACTCTTGAGATCATCACCTCATCACTACGGAACACAAAACATCAAAACGGACCAACTATGCCCACTGAATGCCATGACACGCAAAAGCTGGTTGGTTGTCATGTTGCTACCATTGCCAAGACAGGACGACAACCCCTCAGCGCTCTTTGAAACATGGTGCATTGTGAGGGTTTCGTGGGCTTGCACTCGAAGAGATTCCGATGTTTGTGGGTTTGAACAAGTCCCCATGAACGCCAAGTTGCGTTGATGCTTTGCGGGCTTCACATCAGCTGCAGAATCCGGAGTGAGATAGGGGTCGCTGGTCGCTGCGGGCGCGCCCTCTTCATCATGCCCATCATCAGCCATGACAGCGCGTGTGACCTAAAGGTGACGTGCGCACAAATACTCTGCCTGGCATGATCAAAATTACATTGACCGGTGCCCTAATGCTTGAGTACGTGAGTACTTGAAGTGCCAAGTAGTCTTCGACTTTCAACTGGTCTATTCTCTCTAGAATATAGAATTAACTTACTGATATGAGTGCATACCATGGTATTACAAGCCATATGCCATGCGTCATTCATATTCATTCATGCTGGTCTTGAGCCATGCTTCAGGGTGCAAGAGTTAAAGACCTTCTGACTGGTGGAATCATTGGCATGGTGGAATCCCCATGGTTTAATGTAAGAGAGAGATTGAACCCATGTTTGGTCCCTCAGGTTCTTGGATACCCAGTCAACACAACTGCTTGATGGTCACGACCTATGTTTTGAACCCCTCCACAACCCTGGTTTTATAACCCTGGTTTCGCAACCCTGATTGAACCTCAATGCCAACAAACAATTCAACAAACATTGAACTCAGTGACATGTTTGCACATGAAAACAATAACAGGTACTTTCCCGCGAGCAATGTGTATAGCCCTGCGTCATTGGCGAGTAGGGCTTGCACCCACCCTGCCAGCAGTTTGGAGTGCGCGCACCTTCACTACGCGCTCCATGCAGTAGCCACCAAGTCAGGCCTATACAGAGCAAATAGAAAAGCTCAGAAAAGAAGACATTCATCCATGATTCTCACATCAAATCAAAACCCATCATTCACGCAATTCGGCGACAACCAACACACAAGGCCACAAGAAAGCTCTCACCCGTGAATCTCACATCATAAGGAATGGTTCCTGCAGATCGACGACAACCAAAACACATCCCATAGGGGATATCATCCATTAATTTCAGGCAATGTGCATGCAGTTCAACGACAACCACAACATACTCCCATGCCGGCTTGGATCCCCAACGTTGGAGGCAGTCATAAACCAGTCCTGAAGAAGCAGTAGCCGGAGCAACGACAGGCAGGGCTTTAGCTCGCCATTATGAGTGCAGGGTTCATGCTCGCATTCTTGTTGCATGCTCAAATGTGTACAAAAGAATGTCTAACAACAGAACATACAACCAAACGTCACACTGCACGTTTCACTGACCCCCATGCTTACTGCCCATCCGTGTCCTATATACAGTTTCACTGTCCACCAAACGCAATGAGGCCAATGTTTTCAATCCCCACAAGAGCCGTCTTCTTTGGCTGGTTCCCCATAGTGCTTTGCTGCTTGTGTGCATCTACACAACTGGCAATGACCCAAGATCCAATAATCCACGGCGCCAACGCTTGGCAATGGCCCGATCCATCCACAACCGCAAGCGCCAACACTTGGCAGACGCAAGGAACAATTACAAATTACAATGCATGATGGCACCTTCAGTCAGAACCTTGGGACTCCTCCATGACTGGAGGTTCTGCGGCTTCCTCCTCTAGACCTTGTGAGTCGTCTATCTGCGATTCCTCTGCCTGTGAGTTGGCTTCACCGGCCTTGCGCTTTCGAGTGCGACCCAAAGCCTGTGCCTCCTTCTCGTCCATGATGCATGACCGAAGGTACTCCAAGTTCACCTGAGTGTACTCAACCCACAGATCGGAGGACTGGACGCTCCACAAGACTTGCGTTCTCACCGATGCCGTCCGCTGCGTCTCTGGCGTGTCTAAGTACACGCTATGGCCCGCTATTGCCCTGTCGGATTCGCGCGCTTGGGTATCCTTTTTTCTCCCCCTGAGGTTCATCGTAGGGCGTTCTTCACAGGCCTCTGCCTCGGCCAACGCCTTCCTCAGCGCACTGTTGCAGGCCTGCCGCCGCAACTTCAAGAGCGAGTCAAGGCATTGGTAGTTCACCGAATTGGATTGTTTTCCACTGCGGCGCTCCATTGTCTGACCAGTGGCGAACTTGCAGAACCCGCGATCCCACTTTCAAATCTTGATGAACTTGGTGTTCTCCACAGTGCATGTGGTGGGAATCCAAAGAGACTTGGAACCCTGAACCTCCACAGCGTCCACTTCCTTCAATGTGAAAGAGGGGCGGTCAGACATGGCAAATGCAGGCTCAGGTGCCTAAAGCCTGCAAACTCAACACTCAAATGAGGGCTCAGGTGAGATTGAATAGAAAAGCGGCGGTTATTCCTTTGTGGCGAGCGTGCCCTGCCACATGCGAGCGCATGGCCCTGCACATGCATGGAAAACATGTCACCAAGAGCATCAATGGCTGTATGACTGTGACTATCAGTGACTAACAGAGACTTGGAACCTCCTTCTCGTCCATGATGACAGAAAGCATACTCACCAAGGATACCAACAATATGATTACAAACGAGCTTTAGTTGATTGATCATCAAATGGAACATATACTGGTCAAAAGAAACAACCTTGACTCATCGAATGCCCTCTCCACATGTCTGATCAAACACTCTCCTCTGTTGCATGCCCGGCACGCCTGTCAGCAGGGCATGGGAGATAGAGACCCATTTGCAAACACAATTCGTCGAATGAATGCACCACGACACTGGATGCAACTCAGACTCAACGAACTGCAAATGCAAACACAATGCAAGAAATCGAACACGCAGAATCAAGTGAATGCATCACATGGCATGAAATACTCACCGCCCCCCAAAACAAACATTTCACCGAAAGTGCGAAACAGACAGAGTTTTCCTTCACAGCTGACAGCTCACATCCAAGTACAGGATTCATCGATCCCTTCATCGATCCCTTCAAAAACAGTGGCCAAGCCTTAGCCTCAAAAACCGTGGTGCATGCCTTTTGAACTGTGATCTCACGTGGCCTCATTTGGCCTTTCGTGCCTTCTTCTTCGGATGCCCTGTTGGATCTTCCGCTGCCTCAGCCTCCACCTTGGGCCTATAGACCAGCAATTGTTCTCCCTTCTTCACAGCCTTCGTGTTCCTCAACACTGGAACTTTCAGCTCCTTGACCTGTTGCCTGCCCAGCGCCGGCCAGATCTCCATGTTGGCCTTGCTTTCATCCTCTGCGCTCCGCACCATGAAAGCCGGGCTCACGAGGCAACCCTCCTTCAAAGGATGCGGCATGAGCCACATGTCAAAGACAGCTTCACCAATCTTCTTCTGGCCCATGGAGATCGCCGAAGGCGGAACCTGTTTTCCCTTCGTGGCCTCCTGCACCTGAATCTTTGAGGTCACTGGGATGATCTGCAAGGCATGCTTCAAGATCGCCTTTGCTGCAATCACGTCTTTCGCAGGTTTGGTCTGCAATGCAATCAGACCTTCCAGGCTCTTCTTCTTGGCGGCCTCGCAAAGGGCCAAGCATGCACTGGCCTGGAGCTCCATGACTGAGACCTCCACCGACTTGAACGGCTCCCGATCTTCCCAGGCAAGAAACTCGATGGGCGCCTTGGCCTTCACTGTCTGCCATTGGCCCATCAGAAAATCCTGTGCGCCAACAGTCATGGTCGTCTTTGAATCTAGGTTGATCGTGACTTTCTCCGAAGTCATGGCCACAATCTCGCCCTCCTGTTTGGTCTTCTTGTGGAGCACCCGCTGGCTCACCGCGAAGCCTGCCTCTTCCAAGGCTGCAGTGGTGTGCTGTTTCCCGCTCTCGTCGTACTCACGCATCCTGCATGGGTGTTTGACGATGCCATCAAAACATGTACCAAATCGACAAACAGGGTTTCTATGTCCATCTTTGTATATGCATGGGTTCAACTCCTTAATCTCAATGCGTGAAAACAAATAAAGCATAACAAAACCTACAATCCAACAACAAACCGTGGTCGTACATGCGGCGTGCCAATCATTGCACTGCCAATTGGCGAGTCATATTCACAGATATGACCCTGCCAAACCAATAACACGCGCACACACACACACACGTGCGCGTATATGCAAGGTTCCTTGGAGCAGCCGGAAGAGAGTGACTGGCGGCTGCTGAAGCCGAACCACCTGAGGTTGTCGTGCCTGAACTGGATGGACGCCATGGGGAGACGAGGTCAGGAGTCTTCAAACCAGAATGCTCCCTCATCAGCATCACTGCACTGTGAGCAACACTTTGCAAACTGTCGTGCTGCTCTTTGCCTGGCTCCTTCTTCTGCAACAGGCAGAACATCAAAGAGATCTCAAAGTCACCTTGATGCTGCAACTTGACCTCAGCTGGCACGTCAAGGTCCTTGAAGAGCTTCTGCACATCCATGATCAACCCCTCACATTCCTCCAGCTGTGGCATCATACCTGACTTCTGGCTGAAGAGACGTCGAAGGTCGCTGGCCGTGATCCGAGACTCAATGGTGAAGAGTGCCTTAAGAAGCGCGTGGCGGCACTTGGGGAATTGTTGCGCTCCCGTGTGTCGCATCTCGGTTGCGAGGGATTCGTACACCTCGACTGCCAAGTGCCTTGCAGGCACGCACTTGATGCGCAAGAAGGCCTCCGTCTCTCTCAGGAACTCACCTGATCGCCCCCCAGCGAAGTGCATGACGAAGGTGTACATGCGCGGCACTGCACCTGCATTCGGGGGCTTGGAACGCAGCACATGGTTTTTGACCTTCTCGTAGGATGCACCTCCCAGGCGCACAATGCACGTGTGCAGCTTCTTCATCACTTGAAGGTCAGTCTCATGCCTCGCCAGCTGCCCAGCCGCATTGTAAGCTGCCTGCACTGTCTCGGCCAGCGTTGGCCAGGTGGTGGAGCAAGTGGCATCAAGCACCATCCATGTCTCGCCATCAACGATGGCCTTGTAGAAGGCGCCATCCTTCGACGCAAGCCTCTCTAGCGAGAGTCGGCCGTCCAACGTGAGCTCATCATCCTTGTGTTCCACATGCGATGCGAAGCACCTCATGGCGTAGTTGGCGTGAGAGCCAGCCAAACTTGCGTACCTGATCATGTCACTTGCGCCACCCAAAAGGCCGTGGGCCTCCTCCTGCAACTTCCTGTTGAAGGCCTGGATCCTGTCCAGCTCTGCCCCCTGCAGCTGAATTGCCACCCCCTTGAACTCCTGGCTGTCGTAGCCGATGTCGCTGATCTCAGAGCACAACCTGTGGCAGTCGAAGGCCGACACACCGAGACCATCTCGGTTAGCGTCATGCACGCCCACCTTCATGCAACTCAGGCATTGGCGGCATGCCAAGCCATGGTGTTCCAACACCTGCATGATCTTCCGCACAGATCCCACTAATGCCTTCGTGTCGGCATTCTGCAGGAGGTTTCGCACCTCCTCTTCGACTTCTGGCTTGACAGCCATCGCACTGATCGAAAACAAAGTCCAATTGAATAGTTAGTGAACAAGAAGTTACATTCTGACCATGCAAGCATTGCATGTGACGTGCATGATCCACGAGACTGAAAACATGCTCGTTGTCACCATGTTCATTTTCATCCATGTTCATGCTCATGTTCATCCATGTTCAGGTTCATGTTCGTCCATTCATGTTCATGTTCATGTTCATATACTCCATGTTCATGTTCATGACGTATATACACGCATACGTCGCTTTGGACCAACATACACGCAACATCTCGAAACAGTAAGTAGTAAGGAGTCATAAGTCATAAGCGCAGTCTCTCAAAGGATGCTTGTCAGTCTCTCATGTTGCAAAAGGACACGCCTCCCACAGGCGCACTACCCTTCCCGGCCTGCCTTCCCTGCTGACTGGCGAGCGTACACTGCCCTGCCATGAGCGGGACTCACTCCAAGGTTGCCTGGCGGGGCCGGAGCTGAGCTGTAAGCACCAAGTTCCACAAGTCCCACAAGTCCCACAGTCAAGTCCCACAAGTCTCCACAAGTCCCAGTCTCTCACGACCAACCCTCTCAACAGGAAAGCTCCTATAAAAACGTTTCAAGTGTTTCAAGTTTCACATTTCAAGTTTGGGAAGGACTTCAAACAACGAACGACTTCAAAGAACGTGCACGAAGGACAAATCAACTTTTTCTCAAACACTGAGCCGAGCAATTCATATCACCTTCATTGCGCGTGAAGGTTTGCCACCCAAGAACTCGTGCTATAGACTCCTTGGTCCGTGTTTCAGACGGGTCGAAAGAATCTCATACGCGCATCATGAAGTTAGGAGGTTCAAAGTTAGGCCTCCACTGAGCTGATTGCACAGCGTCACGGACGTAAAATCCGAATGGCCATCTGCAAAGTTGGGCCAACTCATCGAACGCAGTTGCCAACTTGCAGAGTCCGGCGAAGACCAAAAACTGTTGCTGGAGGTCGATGACGGTCAAGTACCTCTCCACATCCTTCTGGAAGCCGTTGGCGCTTGTGCGCCACTCCCTCTCCCAGTTCTCTCGCAGCGGAAACTCGTCTCGGAGCCACCCAAAGCGATCGAACCAGAATCGCTGTCCGCCACCGTTGGCCAGGAATGCCACCTCGGTCTTTAAGGCGTGCTCAGCATTTTTGAGCTGAAGCTGCGCCTTTACCAAACTCCGAGTCACCTCCTGTGGCAGGGCCCAACACGCTTGCAAGGCCCTCTCAACTGACACCAGGACTCGGGTCGCTCCAATGGCACGCTCCACATCGGTACGCGCGTGCCGAAGCACAAAGGAGGCGATCCATGCCAACAACAGAGGCGCTGCCATTACGATCCAACCCAATCAGTGATCCAATCTACAATCACGGTATACAAGAGCCAAACCGCTATCAAACAAGGCGAGACGCATCCCTGCCAACAAGCGAGCAAAAGCCCTGCTCACGTTAACGACATTCAACAATTGATTGCACAGTAGGCCACTATATGCAATGCACTCACTTAGGCTCATATCAGATGATTGATTGAGCATCAACTATAACATGTACTGATCAAAAGTAACAATTCCCTCACCAAATGACTTCTCAACATGTCTGATCAAAAGAAACAACCTTGACTCACTTCCCTCATCAAATGCCCTCCAGAGACATGGCACCGCAACACTTCAGTCCCAAATTGGCGCCTTCTCAACTGGCGTTCGCCAAATGCCCATGGATCCAATTCTGCCTCATGGATGCATTCGCCAAATTTGTTTTTGTTTGAGATACCGACCATGGAGTCAAGCTAACTAGAGCCACTAGAGAAATATTGGCATCTCATTCTGTCTTTCAGTGAATGTCTTCATGCCAGCAATGCATGCCTCATGGATCTGCACATGTTTGTACGTGATCATGCACATGCCTACATAGTTCGACGTACAGTGATCTTGTACATGGAAATCCCACCTACCCTCCACTCTGGGCTCACCGCAGTCCCTTCGTCCAAGTTCCATCATGGGCACAATCATCGCCCAACAAAAGGGTTTGATTGATATATATTATCTGTGCAGCCCCTCCCCGCTGCACAGGGTGGCACCCTCCTCCTCGCAAAAAATCGGTGCCTCCCTTTTGATATATTTACATATATACATCTGCTGCAAATGGAAAATAACAAAAAAGAAAACAAAAACAAAACAAACAATAACAACAACTCCAAACAACAAGTTGTGGAAACTTTTTGCGGATACTTCCTAAAAACCTATCAAAATCAAACTGCAAATGCCAACAAAAGAAAAAACAATTCAAAAAATTCAAAAAATATCGACAAAAAACACATCGTCAAAAATATGTGGAAACGTTTTGTGCGGACCCCTCACAAAAATAGAAGTAAACACTTGCACTGCAAACGCCTTCGAAAAAAAAAAGAACCCTAGGAAAGAAAACGCATGCACGCATTGTACGCATTGTTCTGTGCACGCGTGCGCCTTTCCCGTGCACGCAAGCATTCGCCACGTAGCCCACAAGTGCACTTAACATACTTAGTAAGTTCCAGTTAGCCAACATACATAAATCACCTAAGTTACTTACCCCACATGCTCGTAAGCACGACAACTTACTTACAAAACTTAGCGCAAACTACTTACATTAAAGGCTAAGTAGATACTAAGTTGCCTTGCTACTTAACATAAATCTAAGCACTTACATGTTGACGCTAAGTACTTAACAAATAATACAAACACTATATGTATATTGACTGGTTTATATGTTGGTTTGGCCATGTTATAAGCAATGTTACTGAAGATATATATTCTTTTGGGTAACATATAGGTTCATTGCTAAGCACACTATCCGCTGTAGCCACTTAGCAACCACCACGGGCATCCAAGTATCCAGAATTCTATAGTGGTCGAAACAGAACTTCCGTTAGAACGGGCAAAGTACATGACCAATCTCTGAGTGATCACAGACGTTTCCCCGTTTACGAACGTGAACATACTCCGACACGGTACCGTCTTGAACCAAATGAGGTTTGGTTCCCCCTTCGAACATGCCTGCGTCAAGCGGTTCACGGCATGTCTCGATCCCATCGACCGCGCGCATCCTGTATCCAAAATATCGAACGTCGGCTCTCGGCTGAGACCTCCTGCAACCTTTTCCTTTTCCTCTACCTTTCCGGAACCTTCTGCCGCGGATTTTCCTTCTACGATAGCCTTGTCCATCAGCCTTCAACGCAAGAAAATGATCTTCATCGTACAGTGCCATGAAACCTTGTTCACCGGAAGTTTCATCGGTCACCCAGTAGCCTTCTTCGCCATCCATGGTGCCGTGTTCTTCGATGAAGTATGTTCGACGCCTACGACCGCTAGGGCGGTGTTGAAGCTGTGGATCGCTGATGCTGGTTCTACTGCTACTTACACAGAAAAGTCGTAGAAACTGTGTCTTGACTGCCTGACACTCGTAGCTTTCCATTGGAAAAATTGCGCGTTCATTGCTGATACTAGGCGTTCTCGCGGTCGCTCATTCAAATCTGCCTGCGCAATGAACATCACGGCAATCAAATTCCCAGGTAATGGGAATCGGCTTGATGTTGTTGTCTGGCTGCTTCTGCTCTCTGATTCCAAATCTGCTGTACAGCGTCGGGTCTGTCTTCTGCATCCATTGCTGCGATCTCTTGGCGTTGTTGTGTGTGAACTCGACTGATTGTGGATCTCGGTAGAGGTCCATCCATGCGTTTTGCAAACGTCTCATGGTGATTTCAAACAAACCAATCCAAGTGACCGGAACCACGCCATTGTCGGAACAATTGAAGGAATCTGCCCAGAAACACATGTTGATTACCTTTGATGAAGAAAGGGCGTAGTGTCCTCTTCAAGTAGTCAACTCCATGATCTGGATCTGCGAGCAAACGATTCTCTAGCATGCCTTTGTAGTGTGCGGCTGCGCCTACAAGACTGTTCTGCAAGCTAGGACCGTGTTTGCGAGGAGTCAATGTTGTCAGGCTATATCACCTATGCAATCTTCGTACTCAAACCATCAAAAGTCGGTGCAATCTTCGGAGTCATCCTAAGTTGAGAGGTCTCGGGAACCTGTGCTGCGTACGCATCTGGCCTACGATGCCCTGCCGCTAGGGCGGCGTCCGGGCTTGTTGGCGTGTGTGCTTGGTAATACGTAGCACTACCGTCTGGATAATAATCTGATTCATGGCCTTCTTCTGAACTCTCACTATCGCTCATTGTGCGCTAGCTGTAGCGGCTCCACTCGAACGAAAACCCGCCGAAGCACACCTGTTGGTTCGGGTTTTCTGGAGCAACGAAGCTCCGCTACCACTTTGAGGGTGGAATCCCCCGCAGTGGAGCGGTAAACAACAGCATCGACTTACAGACTAGCAAGTCCCACGGCCCACAAGAGCGTGCGAGCGAAGGCGAGCTAAGCGGCTTTTCTATCGCGCGCGATGTACCTTGAGCCAAATATTGGCAGTTCATATGCATTGCGTAAGAGCATACATATAACAGTAAACTGTCATGAAGCAACGGCCGAATGGGGGCCCAAAAACCGAAACATGGGGTGGGGTGGGGTGGGGTGGGGTGGGGCATGTTAACGTTCGGTTGCGCTTGCTACGCGAAGTTGACGCTACGTGTGCGAATGGGGTGGGGTGAGGGGTAAGTTCCCAAAGTGGCAGTGAAGTACACTGGACCTGATCGATAACGGCAAGACCCAATAGACTCGACGCGCGGAGTCGAAGTGTGCGAACGTCAGAGAGCACACTTTTCTATGGCGCGTGGCGCAATGCGGGCTCTAGTGGTCTTGAGCCAAAAGCAATGAATTAAGCTGTAAAGCTACCTCTGAAGAGACCTACAATCAACTACGAACAACAGGTGCTACACGCGTGTAGCGTAGGCACGCCTAGGGAGTCCCTATACATTACAAAGCACAAACAGACACACATTTTCTTCGCGTCGGAGCTTAGGGCTGCAAAAGTACAACGCGCAAGTGAATTACAAAGTTCTGACTTCGCAGCGCTTGACCGTAGATGCCATTCTTGCCCTGAAGTTAAATCTTCACGTCAGACATTCTAACGTTCAAACGCAAAAGGTAGAGTCTTTCGAATCTGTACAATTCTAATCGAATTCAAATCTTCATGCTGAGAAATCTCCGTAACGTCGGAGTCTTTTCAAATACTGTAAGAAATCTTCAAAGTCTATTCAAGGTCAAAGATAGTAAGGAGTTTTTGAGATCTATTCAAGTCTAATCTATTGCAATACCTGACCGCTGAACACAAGGTTTGTTCAAACACAGCATCTTTCTCAGTGCCTAGGTATATCGATGTTCGCACCGGTGAATCATGTTTACGCAAGTGATGGCCAATGGCCGCTACATTGACATACACGCTAGACCGAACTACGGTTTTCGCACCGGTCGCGCACTAAGGACAAGTCAGACATTGAAGAAGTGTATTCCGGACTAAGTAAGGAAGATAAGGCATACTTGACATTGCTTCAATCCACAGATTTGAATTTTGCCTACTTGGTAGGAAAGAAGCGTAAGGAAGCAACACAGCAAGAGAAACGTGAACTTGCCAAGCAATTCCTAGAGGCCAAGATGGCAGAGAGTTCGCAACCTTTTTTATCCGGAAGATGGGTCCTTACCCTGAAGCACGACAAGGACGGTAAGTTCTTGAAGCGCAAGGCCCGATGGGTTCTTCGAGGGTTTGAAGACAAGCAGAAACAGTAACAACAGACAGATTCACCAGCAGCATCTAGATCTGGTTTTCGTTGCGTAACTCAGGTCGCTGCTAATCGTCGTTGGTCCCTGTTTCATATGGATCTTAAGACAGCGTTCTTGCAAGGCGAGGTCATTGCCAGATTCCGTCAGAACTAGGATATCCACCAAACATGGCCGCTCGACTTAAGAAGCCAGGGTATGGTCTCAACGATGCACCCCGTAAGTGGTGGAATGTAGTCGACAAGTCACTCACCAGCCTAGTTCCGACTCGCGCTAATCGCTGTACTTACATCCTCTATGGATCCCAACAAACAAGGGCCCGCACTAGAAACCAAATGTCAAATGGTCTGACAACCCTTGATGCTGCGCTTGAGTATGTCATGGATCCCATTGCAGGGAACAATGCAGATGGACGAGAAGTCCATGATTTTGTATGTTTACATGTAGACGACTTGTATATGGCAGGAGACAAGCACTTTGAGTCCAAGATACTTGCCAATATAAGAAGGGACTTGTCAGCCGGATCCAAGGATAAAGATGACATAGTGTTTGCAGGACAACGCATCAAATGGAAGACCCGCGACAAACATGGACCGTATATCAGTGTAGACCAGAAGCTAGCGGTAGATGC